GCGATATATATATATATATATATATATATATATATATATATATTTACTGTAACTTCGCATTTATTTATGTGACTAATGGAAGACTAAGAAATATCACGCTAATGTTCATTCATCTTATACATGATCTAGATGCATATGATTATGGATTACATAGTTAATTATTATTATTATTAGTATACATCGTACATCATATGTCACTCTTATATATGTTACGAAGATGATAAGAGAACAACCATGGTTACTTCATAACTAACAAACTCTGAGTCCTGTTTCGATATATAATAATGCAATAATTGTTAGTAGTTTTAAAGTTTAACTCGCAAAGTGTAGATTGTTCGTAAAAAATTTATGTTGATTTCAACATTTGCAGTGAAGACATTAAAAGATTACACTCGCAAGTGGAATTCTTGTCAATATTGTTATTAAAGTATATTGATAACATAATTAATACATTTTTAGTTATAACCAATAATTTAGATTATTGTTCTCTTATAATATTTCGGCATGTTTAATTCGTCATCGAAGTTCCAAGGATTCAAAGACAAAAAAAAAGGAAATATATGGCAGTTATTCCGTGCTACAAATTTTGAATCGTTGATGTATCCTTGCTTCACTTTTTGCCGAATTCTGGGAATATTTCCATACAAGATTAGGGCTTCAACCATTAAGCCTTATAAACCGTATTACATTCTATCGATTATTGTTATCTGCACTTTTTGTGTTTTCGAACTAAAAAATCTGTATGACCTCAATTTTACTAATTTTATGTTAAAAGGAATTCCCATTAAACTTGAACGTAACTGTTTCTACATTTTAAACGGTTTTACAACAGTTATTACATTCTTTTTGAGTGGGCCACGAATGCGTTTACTTCAGACCATACTGGTGATCTCTTCGAGTTTGTCGAAGGAATCATATCGGAATCTATCTAAACTGGTCCATGCCAAAGACATTTTTGGATTCATTTATATAATTGTACAACTGCTGATATATTATTATAATTTGCCGTATAGCACCTTGCATGAGATTTTCATAATATACATCTATTTGCTCGCATTTCAAATGGATATGTTATATATGAATTGTGTTTGCGTATTAAAAGCTTGTTTCAAACAAATCAACGACAGTCTGACGTATCTGCAAATATTTATGACAAATGATGAGCCATATCTTTTGAGAACAACCTATCACAAGCAAAGAAATCCGTTTCTACTAATGCAGCTCAAAGCTCAGATAAAACAGCATCAAGTAGTTAGTGACATAGTACAGATGTTGACAACGATTTTCAGTTTGCAACTTCTTTCTACAATAATTTTGACGTTTATTGAAATCACTTTCAATCTGTACTTTTACCTAGTGCAATTACAAGAGGGAGCAACATCTCTAAACAATCTGGCAAAACAGGTCTATAACGAGATCTTTATTACAACTTTTGCATATAATATTGTAAAAATTTTGTTAATAGTTTGGGCTTGTGAAACTGGTAAGAATCAAGCCTTGATGATCAACACTACCATTCACGACATGTATAATGGTATCAACGATAGAGAAATAAAATATGAGGTAGTGTAAAAAAATTATAATATAATTCGTACATTTCATACATATTTTCCTAATTATGCTCCGCATATAGGTACTAACGTAAATTTTATTACATTATGAAATGTATAATCACATCTTGGGATTATGTTTTTAACATTTTTTAAATTTCAGTTACAGTTATTTGCTATGCAATTAATGCATCGTAAAAATATTTTTTCTGCAAAGGTACTTATTGTAGACGCTACGCTTCTTACTACGGTGAGTAATGAATCATTTGCTTTCATTAAATAAATATAAGTATATATTTAACTTTATTTTAAAAATATAGGTATTATTTTTTTAGATGATGGGTAGTGTTTTCACGTATCTATTAATTTTGTTACAATTTTTGTCGATGTCGAATATTTGCAATAGAGTATCTTTAATTCCTTCGAATTAAAGATATAATATAATAACAGTAATATCTGGATCAAACACTTGAAGATATTTTAAAATATACTCATTTTTTTATTATTGTAAGTAGAATGTCATGTTATTACTAGAATCTCTCGAAGTGGATATATTTGTATATACACTACCGTTAAAAATGGCCGAACTAATGAATATTTCGACTTTAATTATGTTTCAACATCATAACGTGTATAACATATCGGTAAATATTCAATAAATTTGACATTTCTCATATTTAAAAAAATGATATTTATAAAAAAGGATACTCTGTTTATAGAAAAGAAAATACAGATCTCAAAATCAACAGTCCATGATATTATCAAACATTTTTGCAAAAGGAATTCAAACAAAAATCGAAGAAAGATGGAAAGAAATCGATCAAAAATCACAATCTTTGCTAAAAATAAAGCAATTATATTAATCAATAAACGTAACAAATGACAGATGGCGATAGAAATGATTTTATTCGCTGTCATAGTAAAAACGTGTCTGTAATCTGTAATATAATTGCATCTGTATCTTAAGTGATTTTACAACAATTGTTATATTTATTTTGAGTTGATCACGAACGCGTTTACTTCAGATCATACTGGAGATCTTTTTTAGATTGCCACAGAAATCACATCAGAAGCTATCTAAACCGATCCATGCCAAGGACATTTTTGGATTCTTTTATATAGTCGTGCAAATGTTAATACTTGATAAAAATTACAATTGGATGTCTTATATTACATTTTTTTGATATACCCATTTATATATCGTGTTTTAAATGGATATGCTATATATGTGAACTGTGTTTGCGCATTAAAAGCCTGGTTCAAACAAATCAACGACACTCTGGCGTATCTATGAATGCTCATGACAAATGGTGAGCCATGTCTTTTGAGGACAATCTGTCCCAAGCAGAGACATTCGTTTCTACTGATGCAATTCAAGGCTCTGGTATAATAGCATCTGACAATCAGCGACATAGGTTGTGTTCCAAATTTACTGTCAGTACTGAAAATGCTACAGTTTACGTTACATGCACTATAAATTTTCAGTACTGGTCAATTTTGGAACACAGCCATAGTTGACAATAAGCTTTAATTTACAACTCCTTTCTACGATAATTTTAATATTCATTAATATCACTTTGAATATGTACTTTTACTTATGTTAGTATGATTATAAGAGAAAATGTCAATGAGCAATATAGCAAAACATGTCTCTAACAAGATCTTCGTTGTAACTCTGTAATCTATTGTATTATATTATAAAAATAATATTTATAGTTTTTGGGCTTGTGCAATTGGTAAGAATCAAGCTTTGGAAATTAACAGCATTCTTCACGTGTATAATAATATCAGCGATAAAGAGATAAAATATGAGAGAGTTCATATATTTTTGTAATTATGCTCCCAGTATATTAACGTAAATGTTAATATATTATCAGAGATTTAAAACTACGTATTTCAATTCTGTATTTAATAATTTTTTAACTCCTTATTTTCCATGCAATTAATGCATTGTAAAAATATATCTTCTACAAAAGTACTTATTGTGAACGTTACGCTTTCACTGAAGTGAATGATTATTCATTCGCTTTTGTAAATAAATAAATGTAGATATTAAAATGTAGAAATATTTAATCATGTTTCGTAATTTTGTTTTTTTTAGATGATGTAGCATTACTATGTACTTATTAATTTTGTTTCAATTTTTGTTAATGTCAAATTCTTGTGAATGAAAATCTAATTTTACAAATATAATCTAGTTAATATAAAAATACCCAGATTGACATATACATAAA